GTACAGAAATTCGAGGTCCGTCAAACTCTTTGTTGCTTTGCTTTGTCTAAAATGTTCCGCAATATGGCATTAAACCTTTCTACCTTCATGGAGACCAAACCGGACAGAGTTACGGGTCAGATCTGTGGAGATGCCCGTTTCTCTAGGCCTTTTCCGCCTGGGTTTGAATAAATCGAGTAAAGTAGAGCTGTTTAAAGTCACATTGTGAAACATTCCAGGCGTCACCATGGAGAAAAGCGTTACACTGACCCTCTAAAAGGAAAGTTACGTAGTGCAGCTTTAATTAGAATTAGAATGTGGATGTTTTTTACTTTTACTCAACTACATTTTTGAACAGGAATGAAAAGTAAAAGTATTTTTTAGTTTGAGACCTGCTGAAAAAAAAAAAAATATATTTTTTTAATTTTTAACAAGTTCATAATTTGAGGAAATGAAAATATACAAAAAATAAAAACAGCTAGAAAAAAAATCAGTTTAATTGTTTTGTGTCTGAAAAAAATTCAGCGCAAATCTATCAAAATCACCACATTTGAAACTTTATCCGATCTCAAAACCTGCGTGAAATACTTGTACTTTTTACTCTTGAACAGGTATCTCAATACTTTTATTTAAGTATATATATTTTTATGACTTCAGTGTTTGTTTGCGCCGAAATGTAACAAAGTAAAAGTAGTAAAGTACTATACTTAAGTACAATTTTAAAGTGGGTAGTTTTGACTTTTACTTCACAACATTTCTACTGCACTACATTTCTGAACAGGACTGAAAAGTAAAAGTATCTTTTGTTATAGTTTGAGACCGTCTGAAAATAATTTGTGTTTATTTTTAACACGGTCATAATTTGAGGAAACGAAAATAAATAAAAACAGCTAGAAAAAGTAAGTATTATAAGTATAAATAATTTTATGACTTTAGTATTCGGCACATTAACTTAACAAAATTGAGGGTTTTTTTTCCCCACCACTGGTCTTGCCTCAGTACAAATAGATTATAAAAGCAGGTCAAAATAAATCCACTTTTTGATAATCAGGAAGTGATCTGTAGCATGCTAGTCTCTGAAAGTTGTGAAAAGTGCTTAAAAACTCCATTGCGGTGAGTCATTTGGCTCTGCAAACTGTTGAAAAAGAACTAGCTCTGTTTTTCTAGACTGGTAGACCATAAAACTCAGGTACAGCACCTTTAAATTCGTAATCGCTACAGCCAGTAAACTCCTGAAATCCACAGATAGGTTTTTTTTTTGACCCTTGCCATTCACTGGCGAAAATGACTGAAAAATGTATTTCTGACATTCAGAATTCAGGTCATTTGAACATATGAAGTGTTTTATCACTGAGAACTTAGAAGAACTTTTTCACAACGGCCGGAAGTGTCCTGTTTTAGGTTTGAGGAACTTCAAATTGACGGTTTTCTGTGGCAAAATATCTGTGTAAATGTGTGTCGTTTTCTCCAGCAGCTTCGTAAATCTGGCCCAACACCAAATCTTCAACCAACAAACTCCACAAAGGATAAACTTTCTAACATGAAGAATTTATCCACAACGATCAAGAGAAGAAAGACGAAAACGTAAAGGCGAACGACGACGACGCATTAGTGACACACAGCGCGGTACTTTCGGCCGTTGTGAAAAAATATCTGTTGCTTTGACAGTACTCTCTTTAAGCCCCGCCCCCACAAGAGCGTCGTGAGCTCTGATTGGTCAGACGAGGTTTTCAAACACACTTCTTTGTTCTTGTATCGTGACTCTTCAGACACCAGAGTAGAACCAGAGTAGAACCAGAACCAGAGTAGAACCAGAGTAGAACCAGAGTAGAACCAGCTACTCAACTTGACATTCTGTGGGTAAATAACATGGATTTATAAAGGTGCACTGAGGAACTTTTCTAGCGGAGAGTCTTAACAACTTGTCTCCATGGAGATGTTGTCGCGTTTGCCTGGAATGGTCCATGGTGCGACTTTAAACATCTACGTCTAACATTTATTTATTACGGGTGATTCTGCTGCTGGTTTAAGTCATGGATTAGTCCTGGTCTAGTCCTGGTCTAGTCCTGGTCTAGTCCTGTTTTGGTATACTGGCTTAGTCCAGGTTTAGTATATTGGTTGAGTCCAGGTGGAGTCCAGGTTGAGTCCAGGTTGAGTCCAGGTTGAGTCCAGGTTGAGTCCAGGTTGAGTCCAGGTTGAGTCCAGGTTGAGTCCAGGTTGAGTCCAGGTTGAGTCCAGGTTGAGTCCAGGTTTGAGTCCAGTTGAGTCCAGGTTGAGTCCAGGTTGAGTCCAGGTTGAGTCCATTGAGTCTACATTGAGTCTACATTGAGTCCAGGTTGAGTCCAGGTTGAGTCCAGGTTGAGTCTGACATTGAGTCCAGGTTGAGTCCAGGTTGAGTCCAGGTTGAGTCCAGGTTGAGTCCAGGTTGAGTCCAGGTTGAGTCCAGGTTGAGTCCACATTGAGTCCACATTGAGTCCACATTGAGTCCAGGTTGAGTCCAGGTTGAGTATATTGGTTTAGTCCCGGTCAAGTCCCAGTCAAGTCCCGGTCTAACCCTGGTCTAGTCCTAGTTTGGAATATTGGTTTAGTCCTGGTCTAGTTCTGGTTTAATATTTGTTTAGTCCTGGTTTAGTCCTGGTCTAGTTCTGGTTTAATATATTGGTTTAGTCCTGGTTTAGTCCTGGTCTAGTCCTGGTCTAGTTCTGGTTTAATATATTGGTTTAGTCCTGGTTTAGTCCTGGTCTAGTCTTGGTCTAGTTCTGGTTTAGTCCTGGTCTAGTCCTGGTCTAGTTCTGGTTTAATATATTGCTTTAGTTCTGGTTTAGTATGTTGGTTTAGTCCTGGTTTAGTCCTGGTTTAGTCCTGGTTTAGTCCTGGTTTAGTCCTGGAAGCTCCGTCAAATGCTTTTCTCCATGGAGATCTTATTGCTTTCTCTGGAATGTTCCACAGTATGGCATTAAACCTTTCTATCTCCACGGAGACCAAACCAGACCAGGTTACAGTCACAGGTCAGATCTGTGGAGAGGCGACGCCGCTCACAGTCAGAATGTTTGTTTTTCTAGGTATTTTTGATCTTTTAAACCACCTGTGATTGAATAAATGTGAAGTCGAGCTGTTTAAAGTCACACTGCGGAACATTCCAGATGGAGAAATGGCGTATCCATGGAAACAAGCAGGTGACGGACCCCCGAACAGAAAGCTACACAAAAATACAAACTTCTCGTCTCCCTCGTGATCGGTTTATCGGTTTAATCTTTACCGCCGAACATTCCAGACAAAGCAGTAAAAGCGTTTCCACGGAGACGAGCAGGTTAAAAACTAGACACTCCACTAGAAATGTTACGCAGTGCAGCTTTATGACGAACCGCTAATCATTCGAAACCAACTGCGTCCACCTCCACGAAGGCACTGCGCGTTTCACCGTCTCCTAAACGTAAAATTTTAATCGATTTTTTTTGGTTTTATCGAGAAATTAAACGGACGGAGTGACCACAAGAGGGCGGCGCGTCACAGTTTCGTTGCGCGACACTCGCCGTCGACTAAAAAACGCAAAACCCTGAAACCAAATCATTCTATTTTCGATACTAAATAAAGATTCTCAAGTGAAGTTATATTAAAAATTCTCAAAAAAAAAGCTCTTTCTTTTTAACATAATTTTTTCCGCTCCAAGTTTTTTAATGCGTTTACACCACAACTACAAACAGAAATCTGCCACTTGTGATTGCGAAAAGCCCGTTCCGTGTCTGTAAATGTCAAAAAAATCTGTTATTTTAATGTTTTAACGGATTTCGAACTCTTTAACGCCTTAAATTACTGGAGCAGAGAGAGTTTTGAGTGAATTAAAGACGTCAAATTCTAACGTTATGACCAATTTTTGAAGTAAATTTTCAAATTTGTGTTATAATGTTGTTTTTTCGTCGCAAACAGACCTGGAGTTGTGTTTTGTTTCAGAATCATTTAGATCATTTCAGCTCTGGAATTGTGAAATTCTACTGAAATAAAGGTAAAAAAAACAAAAAAAACAAACAGAGCTGTTGACATAAAAACTAAAGCTTCATGACATCACAAGGTGGAGCTGAGCGTTTAAAACTCTGAAAATGTAGACAGACTAATAATAAAGAATCTGTGAATCATTCTTTCAGTCATTTTTCAGTATAAAACCAAACATTTCTTCATTATTTGTCTCCAAAACCGAAATGAAAAAAAGATTTGTTTTTTCAGTTTTCGATTTTGTGTTTAAAGGAAAAATGGAAAAAAACGGATAATGGACTAAACCAGGACTGAAACAAGGACTAAACCAGGATTAAAAAAAGACTGAACCAGGACTAAACCAGGACTAAAACAGGACTGAAAGAAGGACTAAACCAGGACTTAAACAAGGACTAAACCGGGACTGACTAAAAAAGGACTAAAACAGGACTAAACCAGGATTAAAAAAAGACTGAACCAGGACTAAATCTGGACTAAACCAGGATTAAAAAAAGACTGAACCAGGACTAAACCTGGACTAAAACAGGACTGAAAGAAGGACTAAACCAGGACTTAAACTGGTCTTAGTCCTCGTCCTGGTCCCGGTCTAAGTCCTGATCACCCAACAGTCTACGCGGGCGCACCTCCGGGCCTGTCCCGACACTCCTGGTTTAGTCCTGGTTCACTTCTGTTTTAGTCCTCTTTTAGTCCTGGTTTAGTCCCGGTTCAGTCCGGCATCTCAGTTTAAGTCATGAAAACAGGAAATGTCCATCATCCGTTTTTTTTTCCCCATTATTCACTTAAAAACAAAATCGAAAAACTGAAAAAAATGAATCGTTATTTGTTTTTTCATTTTCTTATTTTTAGTTTTATTTTGAAAAACAAATGAACGAAGACACACGGATTATAACGGGTTAAAAAACCACAACTCCGGGTCTATTTTTGAAAAAGAAACTGAATTATAACACGACTTAAACCTCACCAGAGTCAATTTTTTGCAATATAAAACCTTTAAAACCCAAATTATGACAACAAACTTCTTCCAAAACAGATAACAGCGATAACAATTTAATAATAAAACGGAAAACCAAGTATTTTTTTACATTCAAAACTACTTTCCCGCCCGTTCCAAACCTGAATAAATGCGTTGTGCCTTGGAAAATCTTTAAACCTTTGTCTCGTTTTTTTATAATAATGTACATTTATTGCTTTACAGGACTGAAAATACACAAAGAATCCACCTGAACGTCGTGTCCACAGCCGGCTATGGCGACACCTGGTGGCCCCACGGAAGAATTACAGCCTCTAAAAAAGTAATCGAGTAAAATCTAGTCGGGATTATGTTGGCGTTTTTGCTATTTTGAGTTTAGTTCTATACACAGATCCACAGTAATATTTGTCTCTACAGCGTTTTGTTCTGTATTTACACGTCGAGAGTCTCAGGTTCAGTCTTTTACAGTTTTTTATCGACGAAAGTGACGCGTCTGTTCCAACTTTTCCATCAAAGTGACGAAGAAGAAAAAAAAAAAGGTCAAGATATACAGGGACACTTTATTAGGTACGGCAACGTGTAAAAAAACGGGGTCAGATTGGAGAAAAAGTACAGGTTTAGACCAGTTTGAGTACTAGTTTAGTCTTGGTTTAGTCCTGCTTTAGTCCTGGTCAAATCCGGGTCAAGTCCAGGTTTGGTATATTGGTATAGTTCCGGTTTAGTCCTACTTAAATCCTGGTTTAGTCCTGGTTTCGTATTGATTTTGTCCTGGTTTGTTATATTAATTTAGCCCTCGTTTAGTCTTAGTTCAGTGCTGGTTTAGTCCTGGTTTAGTCCTGGTCTAGTCCTGGTCTAGTCCTGGTCTAGTCCTGGTCTAGTCCTGGTCAAGTACCGGTTAAGTCCTGGCATGGTATATTGGTTTAGTCCTGATTTAGTCCCGGTTTAATCCTGGTTTAGTATTGGTTCAGTGCTCGTTTAGTCCTGGTCAAATCCTGGTTTGGTTATATGAATTTAGTCCAGATTAAGTCCTGGTTTAGACCTGGTTTAGTCTCGGTTCAGTCCTGGTTTAGTTCTGGTTCAGTCCTGGTTTAGTTCTGGTTCAGTCCTGGTTTAGTTCTGGTTTAGTCCTGGTTTAGTATATTAATTTATTCCCGGTTTATTCCTGGTTTAGTCCTGGGTCAGTACCGGTCAAGTCCTGATTAAGTCCTGGTTTAGTCCTGGTTTAGTATTGATTTAGTCCAGGTTAAGTCAAGTTTAAATCCTGTTTTAGTCCTGGTTCAATTCCAGTTTAGTTCTAGTTTGGTATATTAATGTAGTCCTGTTTAAGTCCCGGGTTAGTCCCAGTTTAGTTCTGGTTCACTGCTGGTCAAGTCCTGGTCAAGTCCTGGTTTGGTATATTGGTATAGTCCTGGTTTAGTCCTGGTTCAGTCCTGGAGGGTCCGTCACACGCTTTTCTCCATGGAGATGTTATCGCTTTGTCTAGAATGTTCCACAGTATGGCATTAAAACCTTCCTATCGTCATGGATCCCAAACCGGACCAAGTTACAGCTCAGATCTGCGGAGAGGCGACGCCGCTCACAGTTTTCCCGCTGGTTTTCTCGGCATTTTTGACCCATAAAACCACCTGTAATTAAATAAACGTAGATAAAAGTAGATATGTTTAAAGTCACACTGCGGAACATTCCAGACAGAACAACGACTTATCAAAACGAAAACCTTTACTTTGAACTTCTACATTTCTTTGGTGGAAAAGGGGAATAGACGTGTTTTTGTACCGTTACAGTAAAGTCATAAAGGAACAAAAAAAACAAAACAAACAAACAAAAAAAAAAAACGTCCACTCAAACATGGCTCAACCACAGTGGAGCGTAAACCCCGCCCGCCCGGGACCAGCGTCTCTACGGCAACAAACGCACCCAAAACTGAACAACGGACGACGAAATCACTTTTTAACGAGATTTAAACCAATTTCAAATCCAAAAAATATTAAATCTGTATCATCGGATCGACGTCGAAGAAGCGATTTCGCGCGAATTTTAAATAATTACCCGCCCACATTTTTTATTTTATTTTTTTTAAGAAGCACTAAAGCAAAAACATCGTAATAATTAACATTTCGTCAATAGATAAGACTCGTTCAAAACAATAATAAAGATAAAGGCAGTTGAAATAAAGCACACCACTTTTTTTGTTTCAGTTTCAGTTTCCGGGGAGCGAGTCGGGAAAAAAAACGCTCACTTGTGATTGGTTGTCGGCGGCGGCGGCGGCGGGAGCATGGGGGCGGACCTGTCGTTCGTTACCGTCCGCCGTAGCTTCACGTTACGGAGCATGGACGCCATTCCTCCGGGTCTGGGCTCCTCCTCTTCTTCGTCGTCGTCGTGATTTTGGTTCGGTGGAAGGGTTTCGCCGCCGACGCTTCCACCCGAAACGGAGCCCTCGCCCTGGGACAGCGTCGCCGGCAGCGTGTGGTGGTTCTGGTGGTGGTAGAGCTGCTGGCGTTGCTGCTGGCTGAGGTTCGGGTAGACGGCGTCGTACACCGGCGGCAGGGGCGCTGGCATCTGCGGGTGGTTCGGGATGTTGTTCGGGTAGACGTTCCCGGTCTCCTGGTGATAAACGGGCTGGAATTGCGTTTGGTTCTGCTGCGTCTGGAAGTGCTGCAGGTGTTGGGGCAGCGGCGGTTTTTGGTGAACCTGCGGCGGGCATTTCGGCGGCGCGTACGCTTGGTTTTGGCCGTAGATTTGATGTTGCGGTTGGCTGATTTTGAGCTTGCTTCGCGAACTGCTGCTGCTTCGCTTGGTTGTTCTCCGGGATGGTCGGGACGGGCACCGGGATCGGCATCTGCCCCGGCACCAGCTGGTAGTACGGGGACACGCTCGACCCCGCGTGGTGGCTTTGCGCCAACGCGCTTAAGCTTTGCGTCGAAGTGCACAGCTTGTTGTGCCCCAGGACGCCGCCGGGGGGAGCGCCGGGCAGGTTCTCGTCGCTCAGCTGCGCGTTCATCGGGACCTGCGGCGTGGAGATGGGGATGGGCACCCCGCCGCTGATGGTGCCCCTGCGGAACACCGGTTTGGACGAGGGCTTGCGGCGGATGGTGGCCGTGTGGGAGCCGCCGATCATCTCGGTGTCGGCGAGCAAGGAGACGGTGGAGGCGGGGCGCTTGGACTGGGCGAACTTGCGGAACTGGACGCCGAGGTCGGAGTTGCGCGGGATGGTGGAGGATTTGTCGAAGTCGGACTGGCTGAAGCCGTGGTGCAGGTGGTGCAGGGAGACGGAGTCCGCGTCGCCGTGGAGAGAGATGGACTCGTAGTCAACTAACGGGGAAAAAAAAAAGGAGAAAAAGAGGTTGTATTAGATTTGGAAAGAAAAAAAGAAAAGCCAGTAAATTTTTCCCTGTCAGTTATAGAGATTTATTAATTGCAGCTGAATGAAAACTGTAAATTACCGTATTTTCCGCACTATAGGGCGCACTGAAAAGCCTTTAATTTAATCAAAAAACGACCGCTCGCCTTATAATCCAGAGCGCCTCATATATATGAATTTATTGGGGTGTCTTAGTACGACTTTAGTAAACTACAAAGCCGCTCCATTTGCAGCATTACAGCTGCCTGTAGTCAGGAGCGTCGCAGAGTCATACATGCTGTGTGCGAGGTACTGTGTGCGAGGTACTGTGTGCGAGGTACTGTGTGCGAGGTACTGTGTGCGAGGTACTGTGTGCGAGGTACTGTGTGCGAGGTACTGTGTGCGAGGTACTGTGTGCGTCCAGAAGGTGATATTTGATGATGTTTATTGATGGTTACATGTGTGGTGTATGTGTGTATGTATGGGTGTGGTTATCTGAAAAACAACTGTCGTGTGGGAGCATGAGTGACGTAGGCTTGTGGGCGGAGCCTTGAACAGAATCTTACAGCGAGGAGGGTAGGAGGGTTTGAATAGGGCCTAAGAGAGATCGCTAGATTACTCAAACATGCATGGATGACTCTAAAACCTCTTCTGGCATGTTTTTGATGAGGAAACAACATTATAACATTGTAGAAGAGCTCCAAAAAGAGCCCCCTTCTTTAAATGGAGCATTTTGAACAGAAAACACTGCCTTTTTTAGATGTATTTTTTATACAGTACACCTGAACTTCTAGTACTTTTTAGCAGCAGTTTTAGTATTGTAATATGCATTGTTTAAAATTCTTCATATGATTCTAACCACAAACCATTCAAATACAGAAATCTAGACATAGGCAAGTTGTAATATCACATTAAATCTCTATAATCCGTGTGTCATTCGTTCATTCGTTTTTCAATATAAAACCAAAAATAAGAAAACGAAAAAACAACAGTTTTCTTCATTATTTGTCTCCAAAACCAAAATGTACAAACGGATAACGATTTGGTTTTTCAGTTTTCGATTTTGTGTTTAAATGAAAAATGGAAAAAACGGATGACGGCCGTTTCCCGTTTACGTGACTTCAGTGACTGCGATGCCGAACTGAACCAGGACTGAACCAGGACTGATCCAGGTCCGGGACCAGACCGGGACCAGTGCGGGACTGAGACCGAGACCAGACCGGGACCAGACCGAGACTGAGACCAGGACTGAGACCGGGACCAGACCGTGACTGAGACCAGGACTGAGACCGGGACCAGACCGTGACTGAGACCGGGACCAAACCGGGACTGAGACAGAGACCAGGTCGGGACCAAACCGGGACTGAGACCGGGACTGAGACAGAGACCAGGTCGGGACCAGACCGGAGGCTCAGAGCCCAAGGCAGGACCGGAGCTTGAAGCTGAGGCTTGGACCCCGCGGAGGCTCGGAGTCAAAGCTCGGAATTCGCTTGGGTCCTGGTCTGGTTCTGGTCTGGTCCTGGACCTGGATCAGTCCTGGTTCAGTCCGTATGCAGTGCAAAAGTTCAACATCGCAGTCAAGGAAGTCACGTAAACGGGAAACGGTCATTATCCGTTTTTTCCATTCTTCATTTAAACACAAAATCGAAAACTGAAAAAACAAATCATTATCTGTTTTTTTCATTTTGGTTTTGGAGACAAATAATGAAGAAAATTGTTGTTTTTTCATTTTCTTATTTTTGGTTTTATTTTGAAAAACGAATGAATGATACACAGATTCTCTCTCAATACACGGTGCTTCAAACAGTTTTACTGCGACAGGTTTATGCAGACGTTAAGGAAAATACAAATCAAACATGCACAGAGACAAAGGGAAGATGCTAAAAATGTCTGGAAATGAAAGTAAAATCAGCGTGTGAAGAGCAGACAGGAGGACGTACCATAAATAAGAGGAGGTTTCTTCAGAACTGAACAGGGAGACGAAAGGAGACAGAGAGAAACAGAGGAGAGAAGAGAGAGAAAGGAGAGAGAGAGGAGACATTAAACACCACGAAAAGCCCAGACACACACTGAAAAGACTGAACAAATGAAAACAGAAAGTAAAAGCAGGTTTATTTTATATTAATTTGCACAAATGAATCACAGAGAAAATGAAAAAGACTCTTATGTTTATTTATAATATTTATGATGTTAGTTAAAAGCAACAGGTAAAGAGTCACCGGAGCTTTAAAGAGACAAATATATGATTTTAAACTAACAGAGAGAAACAGAGAGAGAGAAAAGGAACAAAGAGCGACAGAAAAGGAGTGAGAGAGAAAGAGAGTGGGAGAAAGAGAGGGAAAAAGAGAGAGACAGAGAGAGACATAAAAGAGATAAACAGAAAAAGAGAGAGCAGAGAGAGAAACAGAAAAATAGACAGAGAGCAGAGAGAGACAGAAAAGGAGAGAGACAAAGAGAAACAGAAAAAGAGGCAGAGAGAGAAACAAAAAAAGAGACAGAAAGCAGAGAGAGAGACAAAAGGGAGAGAGAGCAGACAGAGAGAGAAAACAGAAAAGAGACAGAGAGAGAGAAACAGAAAATAGACAGAAGCAGAGAGAGAACAAAAGGAGAGAGAGGCAGACAGAGAGAGAAACAGAAAAAGAGACAGAGAGAGAAACAATAAAATAGACAGAGAGCAGAGAGAGACAGAAAAGGAGAGAGACAAAGAGAAACAGAAAAAGAGACAGAGAGAAACAGAAAAATAGACAGAAAGCAGAGAGAGAGACAAAAGGAGAGAGAGGCAGACAGAGAGAGAAACAGAAAAATAGACAGAAAGCAGAGAGAGAGACAAAGAGAAACAGAAAAAGAGGCAGAGAGAAACAGAAAAATAGACAGAAAGCAGAGAGAGACAAAAAGGAGAGAGACAAAGAGAAACAGAAAAAGAGACAGAGAGAAACAGAAAAATAGACAGAGAGCAGAGAGAGAGACAAAAGGAGAGAGAGACAGGCAGACAGAGAGAGAAACAGAAAAAGAGACAGAGAGAGAAACAAAAAAGAGACAGAGAGCAGAGAGAGAGAGAAAAGGAGAGAGACAAAGAGAAACAGAAAAAGAGACAGAGAGAAACAGAAAAACAGACAGAAAGCAGAGAGAGACAAAAGGAGAGAGAGGCAGGCAGACAGAGAGAGAAACAAAAAAAGAGACAGAGCAGAGAGAGACAGAAAAGGAGAGAGACAAAGAGAAACAAAAAAGAGACAGAGAGCAGAGAGAGAGACAAAAGGAGAGAGACAAAGAGAAACAGAAAAAGAGGCAGAGAGAGAAACAAAAAAAGAGACAGAGAGCAGAGAGAGAGATAGAGAAAAAGAGAGAAAGAGGAAAACAGACAGAAAGAGGGGTAGAGAAAGAAAGAAAGAGACAGAGAGAGAGAAAGAATGAAAGAATGAGAGAGAGAGACAGAAAAAGATGCAGACAGAGAGAGTGAGAAAGAAAGAAGGGGGGAGAAAGAGAGGGAGAGAGACAGAGAAAGAGGGAGAGACAAAGAGAGAGAGCCGACAGAAACGGAGAAAGAAAGAGTTAAAGTGGACTGAGACAGAGAGACACACAGAGAAAGAGAGAAAGAGGACAGAGAGAGAGAGACTGACCGTGTGAGTGGATGGTGTCCTCGGAGCAGGACGGGGTGGTGGTCTGGGTGCTGTACCCGCTGGAGCAGTGAAGAGAGTCTCTGCTGCTCCTCGACGTGTCCGAGTGAAGAGCCCCCAACGTCAACGCCAACTGCTCCCGCGCCGAACACGAAGACTGACACAAAAAATACAAAATAAATACATAAAAACGTGTTTAATACAGAACAGAGAGACAGAGAGAGAGAACACGAAGACTGACACAAAAAATACAAAATAAAAATGTGTTTAATAGAGAAGAGAGAGACAAAAAGAGAGAACACGAAGACTGACACAAAAAATACAAAATAAAAATGTGTTTAATAGAGAACAGAGACACAAAAAGAGAGAACACGAAGACTGACACAAAAAATACAAAATAAATAAATAAAAATGTGTTTAATAGAGAACAGAGAGACAGAGAGAGAACACGAAGACTGACACAAAAAATGAAAAATAAAGAAATAAAAACGTGTTTAATACAGAGAACAGAGAGACAGAGAGAGAGAGAGAGAGAGAACATGAAGACTGGAACAAAAAAAAAATGTGTTTAATACAGAACAGAGAGACAAAAAGAGAGAACACGAAGACTGACACAAAAAATAAAAAATAAATAAAAACGTGTTTAACAGAGAACAGAGAGACAGACAGAGAGAGAGAGAGAGAACATGAAGACAGGAACAAAAAATAAAAAAATAAAAATGTGTTTAATACAGAACAGAGAGACAAAAAGAGAGAACACGAAGACTGACACAAAAAATAAAAAATAAATAAAAACGTGTTTAATAGAGAACAGAGAGACAGAGAGAGAGAGAGAGTGAGAGAACATGAAGACTGGAACAAAAAATAAAAATGTGTTTAAAACAGAACAGAGAGACAGAGAGAGAAAGAATACGAAGACTGACACAAAAAATACAAAATAAATAAATAAAAACGTGTTTAATAGAGAAGAGAGAGACAGAGAGAGAACAGAGAGAAACAGACAACATAAAAAAACAAAAACATCACTACAGAACAGAGAGACAGAGAGAGGGGACAGGAAAGAAAAAGAGAGAGAACAAAGACTGGCAAAAAAAATAACATTTTTTATGGAAAAGAGAGAGAAAGAGGGGACAAAAAGAAAGCGAGAGAACGAGAGAGAGAGGCCAGAAAGAGAGAGAAAGACAGAAATAGAGAGCGTGAGAGGTCAGAGAGAGGACAGAGAGAGAGAGAAAGAGGAGAGAGAGACAGGGTCAGAGAGAGGACAGAGAGAAAGAGAGAGAAAGGGGAGAGAAAGAGAGAGAGGACAGAGAGAGGACAGAGAGAAAAGAGAGAGGACAGAGAGAAAGAGAGAGAGAAAGAGAGAGAAAGGGGAGAGAAAGAGAGTACAAAGAGAAAGAGAGTGAGAAAGAGAGAGAGAACAGAGAGAGGACAGAGAGAAAGAGAGAGAAAGGGGAGAGAAAGAGAGAGTACAAAGAGAAAGAGAGTGAGAAAGAGAGAGGACAGAGAGAAAGAGAGAGAGAGAGAGAGGACAGAGAGAAAGAGAGAGAGGACAGAGAGAAAGAGAGAGAGGACAGAGAGAAAGAGAGAGAGGACAGAGAGAGAGAAGAGAGAGAGAGAGAGGACAGAGAGAGAGAGAGAAAGAGGAGAGAGAGACAGGGTCAGAGAGAGGACAGAGAGAAAGAGAGGGGGGAAAGAAAGAGAGGGAAAGGGACAGCGAGAAAGAGAAAGGGGAGCGAAAGAGGTACAGAGAGAGACCAAGAGAAAGAAGAGAGAGGAGTGAGAAAGAGAGAACATGAAGACTGGCACCACAAAAAACACAACACAAACCAACAACATGCACCAGCTCTGACTCATTAGTTTTTGCATCGCGCTGCTGTTATCAGTAAAAACTACATTTGGTTCAGAAATGTCTACGTTGATACTGGGGACACAGGTCATGTCAATGGAATCTAAAATCTAAATCTTTCAAACAGTTTCGTATAAAATTAGTAATTATTAGTCATTAATGATTCTCTGTACAGTTTAGTGTTTGTCCAGTGGAAGCAGGAGTTTGTCGTTTTTGGTTTTTTTTACCTTCCCGGACGCCGACATGGCTCGCGCTCGCTCGCCCGGGTGGCTGTACGCGCTGAGGGGCGGAGCCAAAAGACCGTTCTCTGTGGCCACGCCCCCTCCACCGGTAGACGACAGCTGATTGGTTGAACCCATCGAGTCCTGGAAGAAGACGGCCAATCAGAAACAAGAACCGGAGAGATTCCTAAAAGCTTTTCCAAGAATTTAACGAAATAAACGTCAAAAGAATTTCAAGTTTTGTCGTGTTTTATGTGATAATATCGTACTAGCTTTGGTTTCATTTGTTTTGATTACATATATTGTCAAATCGAGGAGGGACGGGACAAGATCTCGTTCCACAAAATCTCGCGAGACAATTTTCTTCCACGTGTTTAAATTTGGACTAGTCAAAAAAAACGTGAAGCGCTGGTGAGTTACATTTTTTTATGAAGCTGTAGTTCCAAAACACAGCGCAATAACAACAACAAAAATATTAAATTAAATAAATAAAAAAATGTTAGGACAAAATTTTGAACTGGACTGGACAATTTATTTATTACAAATTATTTAAAAATCTCGTCTTGTGAGAATTGTGTCTGGTCCCGCCCCTAACGTCTAAAGATATGATATAAAAAAATCCGAAGAAATACTTTTTCAAAACCTGAAAATGTCCCTAAAATAAAATAAATACTAAAGCTAAAGACGTTTCTCATTTTTGTTGCCATCGAGACAAAAATCAGACTTAAAGGTGCACTGTGTAACTTGCCCGCTGGAGGGTCTGTCACCTTGTCGCTTGTCGCCATGGAGATGTGCTTAAAATGTTCCACAGTATGTCCATAAACCAGAGTCCTGCACGGGTCAGTTTGTGGAGACCCGCACTCGCCCGTTAACCCGCGATTTTATCAGAGTTAAACCCGTTACCCGCCCGTCTCCGTGATAAATGACGCACTAATTAAAAACAATCTGACTGAAGAATCCATCAGAACACGAATTGAAAAGTTACGACGTCAAGAATTAGAATCACCAAATGAAATTAAACGGTTTCGCTTTCTTCAGTACGAACACGAATTCACAGACGCGACTCGACTGTCAAAAATACATCATCGCTTCACAGGATTTATTTACTGAGCAGAAGAAACACTGATCGAGATGCTGAACTTTTGTGCCTGCACACGTCACCGACTGAACCAGGACTAAACCAGGACTAAACCTGGACTGATTCCAGGACTGAATCTGGACTAACCCAGGACTAAACCAAGACTAACCCAAGACTAACCCAGGATTGTATCAGGACTAAACCAGGACTAACAAGACTAACCCAGGATTGTACCAGGACTAAACCAGGACTAACCCAGGACTGATTCCAGGACTTAACAAGGACTAACCCAGGACTGATTCCAGGACTAACTAGGACTAACCCAGGACTGATTCCAGGACTGTACCAGTACTAACCCAAGACTAACCCAGGATTGTATCAGGACTAAACCAAGACTAAACCAAGACTAACCCAGGATTGTACCAGGACTAAACCAGGACTAACCCAGGACTGATTCCAGGACTGTACCAGGACTGTACCAGTACTAACCCAAGACTAACCCAGGATTGTACCAGGACTAAACCAGGACTAACCAGGACTAACTCAAGACTAACCCAGGGCTAACCCAGGACTGATTCCAGGAAGACTAAACCAGGACTAAACCAGGACTCACTGTCGGGACAGGTCCAGATCCGGAGTTGCGCCCGTGTAGACCGTCCAGTGACCGCAGGCGAAAAGACCAGCACGGAGGTAAACGCAACTGTCGCCCGTTCGCGCTTTACGGCCCCCCTGCTCCACTGGCTCGAGGTTCTCTCTCTCTTAAGTCCAAGATTAGTCCTGGTTTAGTCCTGGTTTAGTCCGGGTTTCGTCCTGACCCGCCCCGTGCGTAATCACCACCCGCCCGCAAAACTCCAGAACGTTAAAACCCGCAGGTACCCGACCCGGTGCAGGACTCTGCCATAAACTTGAGAATCTCCATGGAGACTTGCAAACCATTAATTAATAATAAATAACAAATTACAGGCTAGATCTGTGGAGAGGCGAGCCCACTCACAGTAAGAATGAATGTTTTTAAAGATATTTTTGAGCGATAAATAACACACGTAGTTGGTTACGCAATTAAACCAAAGCATTAACATGAACAAAAGTTACACGGTGCACCTTTAAACATACAAAAGTAGCATCCCACACATCGAAAAAACATTGAAAATACACAAATATGAAAGTATAAAAATGTGTAAAAACAAAGGCCACGACCACAGGAAACCGAGATGAGTTTGTTTTGTTGATCACTTCAAACATTTAAAAAGTCTTTCTGAAAAACGCAGCACTATGAGATGAGGTCACATGACACGGCGGTGAGGGGGGGATCATGGGTAATTTTTCCTCACGGTGGTCATGTCCCTGCGGCTATAGCGGCGGTTCCCCTGGTGACCGGAGGACGAGGAGGCGGAGGTGGCAAAGGCGGCGGTGGTGTGGCGGCCATATCGACGGTCGCCCTGGTAACTGTAGGTGCGGCGGGCGGGCAGGTGGCGGCCGGGGCGAGCGGGCGAGTTCCCTTCGCTGAGGGAGCGGCCCGACTCGCAGCCGATCAGGAGGAAGGGGGAGGAGCTTCGCTGGGTGAGGAGAGCGCAGGCTTTTATTGTGAAGGGCACTTGGGTGGAAGTCACGTTTAACACTGATACACGTCCCAAAAAAATCATTTTCACAGACATTTTTTTTTGGCAATTCTTGTTGAAATAACCTGAAATTTTCACAGAATGTCTAGAAACAGAGCGAGATTTTATATTTGATGTTTTATTTTTGTTCTGTTTTCAGGCTGAGCCATTCATTTTGTGTCTCGCAGGATTCCCACTCTTTTTCATTGACAAAATTTCTAAACTTTTCCATGACTTTTTCGTGACCTAAAGTGAATTTTCCATGACTTTACGGCACCTACATGTGTAGAATTGATCATATTTTTAGGGCTAAATATGAAATGTTAACTCTTTCCACTCACCGTCTGGTTTGGGATTATAGTTTTTAACATTCAAAATCCTGTCAGTGCATTTACTGTCGTCTGTTTTAAACAAAAGGCACAGACGTTCACAAATAATCATAAAAGTCTAATGAAAACTTAACAGAACGCTGGAGTTGCGTGAAAGAGATACTAAAATTCCATGACTTTTCTAAAGCCTTCTTGAATTTACTAAATTTCATGACTTTTCCAGGCTTGGAAAATGACATTTTCAATTTCCATGACTTTTCCAGGACTTCCATGACCGTAGGAACACTGGTCTTGGAATCGGCTCACAGAGTCACCCAAGACCAGGGGAGTCAAACTCAAATTGACAGAGGCCAAAATTAAAAACTGGGACCAAGTCGTGGGCCAAACTAAATATTTATTGATAAATTTTAAACAACATCTGCATGTTTTCTCTTCTTTCGAGATCTATAATGTTTAACCTTTTCTTATTCAAATAAATGTTTAATAACAGTTTTGCTTAAACATTGAATCCAGAACAAGCAGAATATAAAATAATAACAACATTTTAAGTAAATAATGTCTCTATAGTCCATCTGTAACTGTGGGCAGCTCTAATACAGATCTGATGTTATCTCACGGGCCAAATATAATTATATCACGGGCCAAATTTGGCCCCCGGGCCCGAGTTTGACATGTCTGCCCAAGACCGTGCAGCGTGTCTTCAATGCAAAAATGAGATGGTATCAAAATTTTAAAGAGGAAAGCTGCTCATACAGGGTTAAAGGATCAAGTGTGTGTGTACGAGCAGATTCCAAACCGCAAAAAGACTTTTCTTTGGGAGTGAAAGGCTCAACCTCAACGCCTCGTCATTTTGGTCTTAAAATGTTCGTTTTTATTTTGCTATTTTGTCTGTAAATTCCTTTTCTTAATAACTTTATAACTGCAGGCCTCATGAGCTTCATTTGACTGGTCACAAACTCCCTTAGTCCACTTTTTTACACAGTCTGTGGATCCAAGTAATCAAAATATTTCGCTGCAATCCTTATTTTTTTTCAAATTTTTCAAGTTTTACACTGACTTGAGCAGTTAGTCATGGTTAAGTGTTGCCCTAGTGCCTAAGTTCAAATGTAAGATAAATATTTTTTTAATTCAAATAATAAACAATAATAATAATCATAAATACATAATAAAAATGAAGAAATAGTGCCAAACCTGGTACAAGTGTGCAGTGAACTCCACAAGTGTTTAACAAGATTAAGCTTTGTAAAAGAGGAACTAAAAATGAACTAAAACCGAGTAAAATATTAAAAGCTGCAGAAAATGAGTGGAAAATAATTGTAATTGTTTCAGTGAGTGTTGATGTGTTACCTGGATGTGAAGTCCGTCCACTGCGCAGCTGATGGAGTCCAGAGACGGCACGTGTCTCACTGACCCACACTGGTAATTACTGAAGAAAGAAAAACTGTGATTAGGTAAACTCACAATGACACGTTTGTTTGTAAAATACAGTGAGCAGGAGAAAACCGAGCCAAACATGACATATTATAATCATCAGTTAAAAGAGTGTAATAACACTCCACTCACCAGGTTAAATAGTGGTTGAAAGACTTTCACACATGATCGTTAAGATAAACTAAAGATAAAATGACATGTGCAATGCCAAGTTTATGGACATGGCTAAAAATGCAGTAAGAGGGAGTGTTGTAGTCAAGACCGCACTAATCGAGACCGAGACCAGTCCGAGACCAGGACAAGACCAAGACCAAGGCCACGGCACATCAAGACCAAATTGAGACCGTTCTTGTAATTTTTGACATTTATTTGTATTTTACAGTTATTTTGGCACAAATATATTAATGTTTTTTTGTAGATCTATCTCCATTTTGTCTGATTAATATTCATCCATCCATCCATTTTCTTCCACTTATCCAAGGTCGGGTCGCGGGGGCAACAGTCTGAGGAGGGCCTCCCAGACTTCCCTCTCCACACACACGTCCTCCAGCTCTTCCAGGGGGATCCCGAGATGTTCCCAGGCCAGTCCAGAGACATAGTCCCTCCAGTGTGTCCTGGGTCTTCCCCGGGGCCTCCTCCCAGTGGGACATGCCCAGAACCTCCTGAGGGAGGCGTCCAGGAGGCATCCGGAACAGATGCCCGAGCCTCAACTGGCTCCTCTCGACGTGGAGGAGCAGCGGCTCTACTCCGAGCTCCTCCCGTGTGACTGAGCTCCTCACCCTGTCTCTAAGGGAGCGCCCTCATTTCGAGCGCTTGTATCCGCGATCTCGTCCTTTCGGTCATTACCCAAAGCTCATGACCATAGGTGAGAGTAGGAACGAAGACTGACCGGTAAATCGAGAGCTTTGCCTTTCGACTCAGCTCCTCTTCACCACAACGGTCCGATACAGCGACCGCATCACTGCCAAAGCTGCACCGATTCACCTGTCAATCTCACACTCCATCCTCCCCTCACTGTGAACAAGACCCCGAGATACTTGAACTCCTCCACTTGAGGCAAAGACTCTCCACCCGGAGACGACAAGACACCTTTTTCTGGTCGAGAACCATGGCCTCGGATTTGGAGGAGCTGATCTTCATCCCAGCCGCTTCACATTAATATTCATTTAGGTTTAAAATAAACCAAGTAAATTGTACTGCAGTTAAACACTCTGAACCTTTTTTGGACCCTCACCCACAGTTTGAGAACCTCTTCTTTAAGAGAACTTCCACTGGCACTTTACAGAAAACTGAAGAAAGTGAGGAACATAGGTAGGATTTTAAACCCTAACTTCAACCACATGTCACAGTAGGTCTGTTCTGTGCTGTGGACCTGCTTTGTGCTGTGGACCTGCTTTGTGCCAACACTGAAACATAAATCTGGATTAGTTTTTGCTTTGAGGAAGCCTGTGTGCGCTTTATGCAGGGAGGAGCAAGAGCGTGAAAAGGCGAGGGGCGGCGCGCTGACGTGACACAGATGGACAGGGAGGATGTTTTAAAAAGTTTAACCTGCCCTGTGATACACACTGGTACAAGAGGGGACACGCTCTCTGTGAGCGAGTGTGGTGATGTGCCGCAGTGTCCGCAGGCTCCAGACCAGTGCACAGGCTGCACTGAGACGCCCTGCGCTCCTGCACACCAGTACAAGTTTATTGCCGTCAGCAGCGGCCGTAATGAAAAACGATCACACTCGAGTGTCAGACCACGAGTCCGAGACAAAACTGAATCCAAGCACCTTCAAAACCGAGACAAGACCGAGTCCAAATGCACTTGAGTTCAAGACAAGACCAAGACCGCAAAAAAAACAAAAAAAAAAAAACTGAGTACTACGACACTAAGAGGTACTGTATGTAATAAAAGAATATGTGCAAATGTCTGTCACTCTCTGCATAATATTTTGCTGTTAAAGCTCACACTTGTGCTCACCACAAGAGTCATGTTTTCTATTTAAAAAGTGTAAATTGTGAGATCAAGTACCATCATGTATTCCTAAAAAAAAAAAAAAAAAAAAAAAAAAAAAAAGTAACTCAATAGCACCAAAGGAAAGAGTCACTTAAAGTTTGTATTCAGAATACATATCCTGGGTCACTTTACAACACTGTGTTAAACAAAAAAGTTTTTTTTTTTTCAATTATATTTTTTTAAACTCTCCTCACCTGCCGATGCTGCTTTTCCGGGACAAAGAGCTGCTGGGCGACGCTGGAGGAGTCTGATACGTGTAGTTGAAGTCTGAACCCTTCAGGTCCAAAATCACCTGCACATTTACAAACAGAAAAAAAAGAAAAACACTCAGGTTTAATGAGCTGCTGCTTCCCAACAGTATAAATATATCTGAGTGTTGCTGTGTGTTCACCTGCTCACTGGCCGGGGGCAGTTTGTGAGGCTCTGCTGTGAGGCTGCTCAGATCTTCTAGAATCGTCTGTAGATGAGTCACCTCCCCGAGCATGTTCATCTCATGATCCTGACGAGAAACACAAGACTCTCACTTTTTCACACTCAAGACAAATTAGGGCTGGGCAATTAAATAAAGTCATTTGATGAATTCAGGTTTTTAATAATCGAACTTGTGAAATTGAGGGTTATTATGAAACAAGTTTTGTTTTTCTTACTTGAAAAACAGGGTCATTGTGCAGTTACAATTAAATATCTACACAAATGTAATTTAAGGTGGTTCACAATTTCTTAAATAAGTTCATATGATGGTTCTGCCATTTGAAAGACCAGCAAGTCCTGCTCAGACCAAAATCTTCCAGGGTGCGCAAAAAAAATAAAATGCAAACATTGAGATTTTAGTTTAAGGCCTTAAGAAAAAAACATGAATGATCCTAAACTGTTGATTTCAATAAATACTTTTCTAAAGGTACATTGGAGTTCAAATGTTTCTCTAATAATGTCATGTTTATTTTTGCTTTTTCATGATCTTATGTTCGAGAATAAACAGTTTTTAAAACCCAGTAAGGTTTCTGAGCGCCGAAAAAACATGAAAAACACACTACCCCAAATGTAAGACTTTTTAAGACCTTTTTAAGACGACTTAAATGAAAATCTAGAATCTAAGAGCCACTGTGGATTAAACCTATTCTTCCTCATGATCCATCCAACGTCTACCTCCACTCTACTGATGGTTTACTCGTTGCCGTCGGCGCCAGAAACCAAAGTATTAATTGTGCAAACTCCAAATTCGACGTTCATTCACGTTACACGATTTCAAGTTGTTGTTTGTTTTTCCCCTCCCTCCCTTTAACGTCGCACTGCAGCCTGGTTGAGTAAACAAAAACTAGGCTAATGAAATTTAAGATCTTTGTGAAAAAAATAAGACTTGGACAACATTTAAATTTAAGGACTTTTAAGACCTTTTTAAGACCCCTAAAAAACTTAAAAATTTAACCGTAAACCAGAAAATTTACAAAGTGTTCGATGAAGTCTGACCAGATTTAAGGATTTTTTTTTTTTAATGGAGGCGACTTTGTAAGTTTAAACTTATTTTAAAGAATCAATGTGTAACTTTTTGTTTGTGGGTCCGTCACTTTCTAGTTTCCATGGATACGTCATTTCTCTGCCCGGAATGTTCCACAGTGCGACATTAACCAGCTCTACCTTAAGATTATTCAATTACAGGTGGGTTTAAAGCTCAAAAACGCCTCGAATAACAGACGTTTTTGACTGTGAGCGGGGTCGACTCTCCACAGATCTGACCCGTAACTTGGTTTAGTTTGGTCTAGAAACACTGTGAAACATTCCAGACGAAGCAGAAACATCTCCAGAAGAATTTGACGGACCCTCCACCGGAAAAGTCACAGAAAAGACTTTTGACGCAATGGGAGTCAAATATTTTCCAACTTTGAGTAAAACATAAAGACATAAAAATAAAATAATATAGAATAAAGTGTGCGTCGCGTCGGTACCAGCACGGGTTTGAGCATGGTGACGAAGCTGCAGTATCTGGAACGTTCTTCTATCAGAGCTTTGCACACGGCCCTCTTCTCGGTCTCCTCCAGAACGGCGTATCGAACGTTCACGTCCTGCAAGGCGGTGTCCAGCTGCCCCCGAGCCTCGTCTTTACCTGAAACACACACAGACACAAAGGAAAAGAGGGTCAGACTGCAGCAAGACGCAAGATAGGGAAAAAAAACACTTTCTTTAGACAACGGAATGTGATTTTCAACATTAAACGGTAGTGCTTTCTGTAATATTACCATCGTGTTTATTTTGTATGATCATAAACGATAAACTTTTGTGCTTCTTTATCAGTATTATTAGTTTGTACGGGATAAACGAAGTCCGTAAGTTAGTCTATTTTACTAATAATGACTAAGATTGAAAGAGAAAAGAACGCAGAAATAAAAGAAAAATATAGAAAAGGCGCAATTACAACAACAAACACTGAGACGCAGATTTGCACGGGACTGGTATTATCAGCGGACGTCTGTGTTTGGTGAACTATAGTAGGCAATTTTTGGTAATTTGTGTGTATATTTATGAAATGGATACGACATGTAAGGTAAAAAAAAAAAAAAAAAAGTTTAACAGTATAAAAGAATTTGGATTGGACTTCAACCTTTTCCTTCTGAGCACCAGAAATGGTTCCAACATATGTACACGTATCCTTGTGTTTGTAAAGTACCTCATGCAGGCACGTTGCTCAAATACAAAAATTTAATAAATACAAATATAAAATCATGTGGCTTTGTAGTGTATTGTCTCTATTCTTACGTCACAAAACCGGAAGGACGTTTGGAAACATGTGGATGACGACTTCCTTTGGTCTCTGTCGGCGAAAGTAACTCTGACAAAATCTGAGAAAATGTCCCGGTTTTCTTCATCTAAATGTCACTGTATACTTAATTTTTTCCTTTTATAAATTTCCTATTAATCTATGTATTATAAGTTGTCTAATTAAAAAAAAAAAAAAAAAAAAAAAAAAAAAAAAAAAAACAACACCTGGGTCGAGTCCTTGGGTCATTTGGTACCAGGCTGCACAGAAAGAATGAATAACTTATATTATATACGTCTCTTATTTTGAAAAAATTACCAAATTCTCTGTCTATGACTCTCTCTTGTCGCACGTTAACATGTTTGTCTCGGTCATGTGATGCATAAACTCTAATATTAAACCCACGAGCTGCAAAATGAGTAAAAAAAAAACGACGTCTCTGGAAACGTTTTTTTATTATATTTGCAAAATACCACAGTTTTTGTGTTGGTCGTGTCATTTTATTTTGTCGTATTTATCCGACGCACCTCAGACGCCATGAAAAGTCTGTGAAAATATTGTCTGACATTAAACTGGGCCATGGCGCAAAAATGATGAAGGACCGCTGACACAGAAGACACGATCCGAGTCCCATCCCTCACGGATAATCCACGGTTTTATCTGAATCCCAGTGTCGAGAAACACACCTGAAGTGCTCATCCGCATTTTTCCAGAAGTCTTTCGTTAACAGTGAATACAGCCTATGGAATGTCCTACATCCATATTTAAACACCCCGCAGTCAAATTTTATATTGAAAAGTGACATGTACTTTTGTGAACTACTACAAATCAAGATACTAAAATTTCAGTCTCGACACTAAGGAACAGACCTTAGACTCAATACTGATTCTGTTACTACAACGATAATAAAAACACTCTTTATTTAAACAACAGAGTGTGATTTTCAGCTTCAAATCATAGTGTTTTTTTTTATATTAACACGTGGCTTTATATTCATGCTCTATACTTGGTCTGATACATTTCAAGATCATTCCAAAGCTGTTCAGGAAAGATAAATTTCTGCCCTGTCAATGGGACTTTTTAGTATCGATACCTGTGAAAAATTTGTATCTACTTTCGATATCAGTTTTGTGGAAGTAGTGTTGTGGAGTTTTGCATCCCCTGCGCAGGTTTAGCAGCGACACCTCCAGGTCATTGTTGATATTTCTCTGTGGTTTCCTCTGGTGTCATCCAACTATTACAGAGTTTATCTTTCTTAAATATTATCAGTTTCTTTGGTTAACTCGTCTCACAGAAGTGATACGCTCTGCTCTTCTCATTTTATCTCATTTTATCTGCAGGCTGTCTGTCTTGGTCAGGCTTTGGTCTCAGACTGATGGTAAAAAAAAACTCCTGCCTCAGGCCCCAGAGTCTCCTGCCTCTCTGTACAACTCCAGGACTCGTTAGGACAATTATTTTCCTGAACAATTTTTGACATCACTAGTATGCAGGGTACACTGCAAAAGAGCCTTGCCAAAATTTAAGATATAAACACTTAAAGGTTGTATGGAGGATTTTTTTGTTTTGTTTCAAATTGTCAATGAAAGTTTAAAACACCATTAGAGAGACGCAGCAGCCTTGTAATTATGATGACCAAAAAAAAAAAAAAAAAAGAATGAAAATCTATCAACTGCGGACGCAGTGAGGCCAAATAAACATCAGCCAATAGAAAACGAGGCTCCCTCTTTATCTATTGGCTGTTAGGTTGTCAATCAAACTCCCTACGTTTCTAGTGTAACTGACTCGCCGGCACGTGGGGATTACGTGGTTTATGCAGGGCTTCTTAGAGGCTTTTTCAAACTGTAGCAGTTCGCACAAAGTTTGTTGCGATGACGGACGAGAATCCACGACCGGTTCGCCGCAAAGGAAAGTCATTTTTCGATGTCGCTGAAAGAAGAAGAGAAGGGGAAAAGGAGCGAAGACAAACTGAGGTGATTCTTGGAGATTCCTTCCAGCGATGGCGCGAATGAAGCAGACGAAGGGTCTAAAAACTGACGCGTCGGTCGCTAAATTATTTCTAGACAGGAAACTTCAACAGTAATTCTGAACACGCACTGGATGTAAACAAGCGTGATTTCTAGAGTAAAGAGGCGGGAGGAGGAGGTGTTTCTACTGAGGCTGTGGAGGAGGAAGGTGGTGTCACACATGCACAACATTTGAAAAAGGACTGTCGCTGTATTTCTCTTCCCTTAAAAAATCCTCTATACAACCTTTAAATTTGTCAGAAAATGACTTAAAGTAGTGAAATGATCTGTCCATGCAGCAAGTTCTCTTAAAATAAATGACCTCTAGAATAGAAAGAAGCGTCTCAATAGATCTGAAAACAAGATGAATAACCTGATAGAAGTTTTCAAATCATGGCCACGTCAGAGAAATTTACAGTGTACAGTGTGACTATTAAATATAATTTTCCAAAACACATTTGTTACACCGATATTTTGTTTGAGTCAGTCGGTTTTGGTTGTTGAGGAAGTAAAATTATAATTTGATTCAACTCGTGCAAAATCATTTAAAGTGAACTGCATTACTCATTTACAAACTGTGAAAAGAGGAAGAGTCTGTGATTAAATCCAAGTAATTAAGATAAACATTTGCACGTTCACATTTTCGTATTTTCAGATCAGTTGGTTCAGTTTCCATGGTGACGTGAAATGGGGTGGACTCTTATTACACTATAAATATTATTGGACGCAGAGACACACATCGCGGGCTGTTTATGTCAAAAAGTGCTGATTTTACAATAAACAATAAATTGAAGAAAAACAAATAACAAGAAAAAAGCTGCCCTCCCAGACTGAATAAAAACTGAAGTTCGTACATTACACAATCCTCAAAAGTGTCATGACCTACTTTTTTAAAACTACTTTTTGGCAAATAATAACACGTCTGCATCTTGTATTTTGTTGATTATTTCAATAAAAAAATTATATTTACATAAAGTTAAATTTATATTTAAATAATTAATCATATATAATTCAAATAATTATGACGTAATTACATTTACTGCTGAATTTGCTGCCAAATTTTTGTCACCTGATAAACTCGAGTTCAAACAGTGACAGTCACATGTGCACAGTTCTGTAGAGCCGTTAAAGACAGAAAAATGGCTCATGTTAAAGTACGAAAAGTTGACAGAAATGTTGAGTTTTCAAAGAACAGTGGACAACTGATGTTTTTTTGTGTTCAATGTTGGACCGTGTAGTTTGTCTGATATGTAAAGAAAGTGCGGCGGTTTTCAAAGAATATAATCTGAGTCGTCAGGCTCGAACTATTCTGTTATATGGCCCCGACCCCATCAGTAATGTGGCACCCAGAGAAAAAAGTTTGGTGACCCCTGAAGTAAAATATATACCCACAGAGTCCAAATAATATAGAATACAATAAAAACACAATAATTACAATTTATCAGTCCATAATGAAGTGCAGTATGCAGTAAATACTTACTAACTGTTCAGTAGCCTAATGGACACTGGCACAAAATAATTCTTCAATCTGTTCATGCGACATGTCTACATCTCCAAAGCTCAAAATGCTGTGATGCTCATGATGCAGAACTTTGTTTTCAAGTGAACAGCTTTTTGCATGAACTCATGAATTTTTTCTTTAGCTCCTTTTTCCTTTAGCTTTAGTTCAATAGAGATTGGCGATTAGAGGACTGAAATTATTCAAATGATTCGTGAAATGAGCCCTTCCTGTATTACCACATGACATGACGAGGTGGAATGAAACAAAACACAACTCCAGGTCTGTTTGTGATGAGAAAACCACATTATAACATCATTAAATCGTGTAATATGGAGCTTTTGGTGTTTGCTTTCAGGTGCAGGGACTGAAGTGAACCAGCAGAGGGCGGTACAGCACCAGACTCCCACTCGTACGCTTCAGTTTGACCCTTTTCTCCTCTAACAGTCTCTCTCCAGCTGATAATAAAAGAAAACAGAGCCAGGTCAATATGTGAAAGTGAGACAGAGTGCACAACGAAGCACTCACTACCCTTTAACTTTAACTTTACAAGAAGGCTGGGAAATAAAATCCAGACATTTTGAGATAATCAGCAGTGAAGCAGTCATTTTCTGAATCAAAACTGAATTAAATAAATGAAATAAACATGGGTGGATTGTTTTTTTATGAGGGCAATAGAGAATAAACAGGCAAAGGGCGGTTTTAAGAGCCGATATTAGGCTATTTTCTGATGTTATAATGTCATTTCCTCGTCACAAACAGACCTGGAGTTGTGTTTTGTTGTGTTTTGTTTTGTTTTTTTTCCACCCTGTGACGTCACGTGGTCATACAGGAAGCGCTCGACTTTC